ACAAAGTGAGAACAAACCTTCCGATAGCCCAATTTTTCGGTCAAAATGCGATGAATCGAATCTTTGGACATTCCCAATTCGATTTCCATAAAACGCAACGACGATTTCGGATGAATGTTGAGAAAATCACGCACTTTTTCGATGCTCTCTGGCGTAATCACGAATTTGGCCTGGCCAACATGAGGGTCGTCATTGATGTCTTCACGACCGTTTTTAAAACGCGTATACCACTCATGAACTCTTCCACGGGATAGGCAATCATCACCATAAACTTGTTGCATCAACTGAAACGTTTCGGTAAACGTTTTACCGAGTTTAAAACAAAACTTAATGTTGGCTCTTTGTTCAATGCTCATTTTTGTACCGACAACGCAAACCTACTGTCACTTTAGGCGCAATAACTTTGCTTCCAGTGAACCAAATGTCATGAAATTTTCACTGGAAGTCTGGAACAAATGTACCTTTCCAACGCCTATAGCCGCATTAAGATGGCGCCGCCAGAAATGTCCCAATTGAAAAAGTCCTGTTTACTTTGAGACAGACTGTGTATAATCTTACAATTGTGCTTACATTTATGGTATATGTTCTAATTTAAGGAGTTATACTCAGTTAGATTTGACGAAAAAAACGATTTTTTTTTTTATTGTATTTTATGAAAGTACAACCTCTGAACAATATTTTCTGAAAGTTTCATAACGATCGGAGCAGTAGAACCAAAGTTCGATTTCAATTTTTATCAAAAAAATTTTTACATAATTTAAATGTATTTAGTATTTACGAATTTAAAATACAAAATACTAAACAAAAAGTATTGAAATGCAAAATACAAACTACTCTCAAAAAAAGTATTAAAATACGAAATACAAAAATGTATTTAAAAATACGTATTTTAAATACATATACTTCAAATGCTGCCCACTCCTGTGCAGCGCTATACACACGTACTTTCGTCGGTATTAATTTAAAATCGCTACCTCCCAAAACGAAATTCATTAGCAAGAGCAAAGGAAGCTTCCATTTCGATTTAGGGGTGTAGCCAAAAGGATTTAGACAGTCATGAATACACCTTCCACCGCGCCC